GACGCAGCGGGTTAATGCTCTTCCGCGAGCGCTCGCGGATACGACGACGACGGCGACGAGGATTCCGCAGTCGCGCACGTAACAGCGCGGCGCGGCGGAGCGCCGCGACGGAAGCGACCGCGTAACGACGCTGCGTCGCACAATGCGACGTGTGTGATGTTATCCCTCGAAAAACGGAGATCCGCGAGTCGTGTCACGCGATTGTCGCGCGACGGCGATAGCATCAATCCGCCGGCGAAGCCGTTCAAGTGCGCGGCGGGCTTCCAGCGGGTGGCCGGCGCGGAAACCCGGGGAGATTACCCGCGAGCGATGTTAATAATAACGACGGTATGCCGCGCGCGCGCACCTTAGGGACGGGAAGTGTGCGCAACGGGAAGTCGCGACTCGCGTTCTCATGCTGTTCTCCTCGCGATAGAATCTCGTTGGATTTTTGCTCCGAAGCGAAACGAGCGCGCCGTCGCGCCGCGCCGCGCCGCGAGGTGGACGATCGAGTTAATAACGAGGACGACGAGGAGGACGACGTCGTAGCTTCGCTAATGCGACGACTCTTTAGGTACTCCTTGTAACCGTCGCGCGCATTCACCGACGCCGGCGGTACCATATTACAATATTTACGCGGGGACTGACTAAGCTGAAAAGTCCTTTATGCATCGCTAAGATCTTGTTTACAGATGAATACACGTCCAAGGAACACAAGAGGCGCGGTTAATGCAACGTTGAAACTTGCCGAAGGGGATGAAGAGACGAGGCAGAGCGGGGCGGGGCGGGGCGGGGCGGGAGGACCGGCACTCCGAAAGTTTCACCGAGTGCCACGGCGGCATTTAACAACTTTCGGGAGTTAAAAGTTGCCCCGTCGCCGTGGTCGACGCTGCTTTAGACTGGATCTTACGCGACCCCCCTTCCTCCTCTCTCCATGTCATCGTTGCGCGAAATGACGTACACTTCAGGTATCTGTTCTCGCCTCTCTCTCTCTCTCTCTCTCTCTCTCTCTTTCTCCTTCCCTCCCTTCCCTCCTCCGCTCTCTCGTTCTCTCTCTCTCTGTCTTTCTCTCTCTCTCTCTCTCCGTCTCTCTCTCTCTCTCTCTCTCTCTCTCTCTCCGTCTCTCTCTCTCTCTCTCTCTCTCTCTCTCTCTCTCTCGGTAACATCTCCGCTCGAGTCGCCTCGGTTCCTTCGTGCTTATCCGTAATCACATTATAGCTGCATGGCCGTCGTATCGAACGAAACTTTACGCATCGTTTCCGCGATCTTCCGCGAGTGGAAAACCGCTCGAGAGGAGCGCGCGCGGCTCCCTATTAATCCTAATTCAGGTTGCACGCGCGGTAATGGCTATTTGTTCGGCCGAACTCTCTCTCTCTCTCTCGCCGACGAGAGCTGCGGCGCCGTATTTCGCGCGGTTTATCCGCGCGGATCACGCTCCCGGTTTTACGCGCACGCACTCGCCGCAGGGAGTCTCGCACTAAGAAGCGTTGGCAGCGCTCGCCGAAGAGGTATGCCCCCCGTCTTATCGCGGCCGGCGATAAAACGCGCCGCGGCGTTCCGCCCGGACTGCCGCGGAATATCGCGAAATCGTTAATGTATGCGTCGGCGTTATGACATAATTATATGTTCGCGACGGCAAAACAGAACGGCGGGCGCTCGTACAGCGGCGCTGTATCATACTCGCGGATCGGGTCAATGGTCTGTGAATCGGCCGGCAAGATAGCGGAGAGCCCGCAATAGTCGTTTCGCAACGGTTACATCGCCGCGTTGCACTTCGTGACACGCGGTACACCGCCGGCTATCTGACGATCGCGGGAACGGCTCCGATGGAAACGTTTTCGAGGATAGCACGTGAGATCGGCGAGAAACTGTGTCGCGTTGCGTTACGGACGATTGTTTCGGAAAGGGTCGGTAAATCGAGCAGCGAGTGGAAGAGGTGGCTGCAGCGACTACGTGACGATGACGCGACAAGGAAACGGCTTCCCTCGCGAACACCCACATCGTTTTCGCGAACAAACGTGAACGAGAGCGTCGATAAAAAAGAATAGCTTCATAAGGCTCTCTGGATGGATGTCTCAGGATCCCGACTAGAAATTTTGATCAGCTTCACCTAACACTGATGAGGACCTAACAGGGTGAATGAAAGGTAATCCTAAGTCTAAATCAGTCCTTACGACTAATGTCCTAACGACAAATGAGTAAGGAAGACCTTTATAAAAGGTTACAATGATTGGGTCCGCATTAGGACCTTAATGTACCAACTTAGTGTGTGATATAATATGGTTCAGTTTTAATCAGGTCCTTGTCGGGATCTCTTTTATTCATTGTACCTAATATGATTTGTCATTATCAAGTTTTAACGAAACAACTTTTGGATGTCATTTCCAAATATAAAGATGTCCGCATTGCAAACACACTTCAGATCACTTGAATATATTTGTAAAATGCTATAGAAACTATCCTTTTTTTAACAGTCAATAAATACTTGTAAGATTAACGTGACATGCAACTTTTCTCTTCAACGCTACTTTATGTCTTGTCACCTTGTGATACTTTATGATCTTGTGATATTCATTTTATGTTTCTTTTCCGAAACATTTTACAAGTAGGTGCTTAAGCGATCTAAAATATTATTTCACGCAAGTATCTTTTTATTTGGAAATGACACGAAAGAATTTTCAGCGTGTCATTTCTTATTTCCAATGTCATCATCCAATATAACCGTGGCGAGTAATCAGGGGCCATAATTTCAAAAAAAAAAACGTAATAAGGATTCCATAAGGTAACTCAATAAGGACCTGACTGTGAATCCTTACTAAGGTCCTGACGATCCACGCTGCGTTAAATGACTTACTAGGACCCGATAGTATTACCTTATTGGGACCCGATGTCCAAATGAGGTTAACCTGATCAGGACCATGGGATAAATTTCTAGTCGGGATGTTGTTTGCACGTCGATCGAGTCGAGTCAGAGACGACGACTCGTGTGCGTGCAACGTTATCGTGAAAGGACAGAAATGAAGCATCCAGTAATCGGCGCTCCGCCAGTCTTCGGCATTCCCGCGCGGATTTTATTAAATATTAAGGTGTGTACGGAGGTCTACTAATTATTTTTAATCAACCATAAATTATTATCTGTTTTTATTATATCTTCACACGCTGTGATACTCGATAATATCCAGGCAAGAGTGCCGATGATTGGTTTGATGGGATCCACCGATCGTGATTTCACCCCCGACTTCCGTTGATACGCTTTAATGCGATTCTTTCTCCGTCAAGAATCGTAAGCGAATACGTCAGCGGATCGACTCGATCGTGTTGTCCGCTTTAAACGACGCGCTCACGCGCGATGTATATTTTGTCGCGATTCGAGTGCACAATGGCGGTTCATTACAAGTATCGTTGTACGGCGCCGATAATAATACGTTACCTCGATATTGCATTTCACATCAGCTGCTACAGAATCGTCGTTCGACGATAGTAACCGTATCTTTGCTTATCGTGTTTCCGGCTATTACGGCCTCAGCGCATTACCTTCCGCGGCGGCGACTGCGGCAGAAGACACTGGCGAGAGAGCGAGAGGGGGGGAGAGCCGAGAGAGAGAGAGAGAGAGAGAGAGAGAGAGAGAGAGAGAGAGAGAGAGAGAGAAACACACGATGAAGATTATTCGCAGGGTCCCTAAATTTCTGGAATGCTGCTCGGGCCGAATAACCGGCGATGCGTTTGTGTGCGCTCGCGCACATGTCTCTTAGGCGCGAGTGTATTAGAACTTCACCGAGGGTGGAGAGAATACAAATAATAACAATAATAGTAACTGTACAAAATTCATCGTCTCGAGCCACATCGCCGCGGTTTCTTCAGCACGTTGCCCGGGCAACAGCGGAACTCTCTCGCGAGTGGTGTGGTTTTCACGGTGAATCGTATCTCTCTTCCTCGATCCTAGTGGAGTCCTCGGAAACGGCCGGACGTGATCGTATATTCGCGATGTAAACGTTTAAGGAGCGTCTTACGTCGTTACAGTAATTTTCGCGCGGATTAGAAATTACGTTCGTGCAGCAGGCGGCAAGCAATTACTGGTGGAAAGTGTCTCGCGCTCGCGCGTGTCAGAGAGAGAGAGAGAGAGAGAGAAGGCGGGGGAGGGAGTGGGGGTGGGGGGAGAAAGACGTGGATCGTATCGTTCTTTTCACGACGCCGGCAAGCGACAGGTAACCCGAGAGTGTCGTACAGTAACGAAAGTATTGCGCGATGCTGGGGCTAATTCCTGCCGCGCCATTTGAAAATTAAGCGGCGGGGAAATATTTATGGGCACTTTACCAGATTAGCTTCGGCCGCGAAAGATCCTGCCGTTGCGTACAACGGCGCCCGTTGTGGCGTGACTACCAGATGCGATGCGCCGGCTGTGTATTCATCCGGACGAATTATACGCGTCGAAGCGCGCCGCGGATTAATCGTCACGCGGGGAGGAAATTGCGGAAGTGCGTGAAGCGCTCATTTTTCGGGACGGTCGGATCACGGCAATTCGAATTGTCCCGCGACGCATCGCGTCGCGAATGCGAAGAAAAGCTACCAAAACTACTGCCGCTACGAAAATTCAGCGGCAGAAATCTGCAGCGAGTACGTCCTCTTGAATGTCTCTAGGATTCTCCTCGTTGTTTCGCCGTCGTGCGTGATAAAAAGCGTAATTCCTTCTCTGGCTGAAATTCGTAACCGGAATTCTATCGCGTCGTAAATGTTCGAGAGGAGCGCTCCTCCCGATAGACGTGTCGCAGGGAGCATCCGAGGCATTCGAACTCGCGTAAATCAAGCTAAGTTTCTCTATTTTCAATTGCTCGCAGGAGATTGCCGCTTAAGATAATTAGAGCAGTTCGTCGTGCGCGCGCGCGCGCGCGCTCGCGCGCTGCGAGGTGAATTCGATTTGCGGGCCGATATAGTCGATCCCGTTAACCCTCCGTAATTTCATACCAAGCCGGCGAGCCAAGCCGAGTCGAGAAATGTGGGCGCGTGAATGTAAGGATACTCACCTGAAGACGCTCTCGTCGTAAGACAGCAGAATGCGAACTGGCTGACTGATGCTGCGTTTCTTTACCTCGTGCGCCGGCTCGATGTGCACGCCGTGGATTATCTGAAACGAGAAGAGACGCACTTTGATTAGACTTCTTCGCTGACAGGATCGTCGGGCGACGTGAGGATCGCGAGGGTCGCCCTTTGACGGTTTATCATGACGGAAGTTTTTCAGTGTATCCTCGGCTTCAGTTCGACGCCATTTGCACGCAGCTCTCTTTATCCGACGGGATGCCGTTTCTTTCTCTACGACCGGGGTGCGCGTTAATATTTTTCGTCTCTTTTAAATCTATTTCTATATGAATTTTAAACTCACGAATAATCTCGTTCGAATAATCTTCGTCTGCGCTGAGAAAGTAGATCTCTCTCAGACAGGTCAAAATCTATTGCGTGGTCGAGAGACCCTAGTTTACGTGTAAGGCATACCACGCAATGACGACTCGTTCGGATCTGTTCAACACATACACACACTCAAGGCCGACACGACGTTCTATTGTGCGCCGCGCGGTTCGAGCACTGAGCGCCGAATGCCGCTTCCTACATAGTTCCTACATAGCTATAACTTTGTTAATATTGCAAATCGAGCGAAATGATTTTGCAGATATATTCTCTGTACTAAATAGCTGCAAAATATGCAAAAACAGAGAAATCGATTTTTTGAACCTGCTAGACTAGAACAGCCCGTTAACGGCAGGAGGAGAGCAGACGCGCGAAATAACACGCGTGCTGGCCGAAGCGTCGGTCGCCGTTACGTCGTTTGCACGTTTTTATTATTATCTCTATTTATTATTCTCCTAAAACAACCTAAATATAAAATGTAGAAAAAGTTCAATTATTTAAATTCAAAATATTTTCTATATACAGGATGTCCGGGATATTTTGGAAACGAAAGTTGTGAAGATTAATAAGATGAAACTGAGAAAAAAAGTCAAGTAGGCGTAAATAACGCGTTGGCAGCGACGCAACGCCAAATACGTCGTTATCTCTGAAATTAGACGACGGTGGTGTAACCTAATACACAACCGGCGGCGTATCTCGCGTTGCGGAAATCAACCCGCCGTGTTTGCCGACGCGCGCGAGATTATTTTTGTGGGGCAGATAATAGCTTATTGATCGAATCGTCGGCGAGGGGCACCATTTTCACAATTGTCCTCCGTATCGTCGTTGATTTCTCCCGGGCGAAATATACTCGCCCGGCGAGCCAACCGGCGTTTCCGTTTCAATTGAACTCAATTTCGGGAGGTCTCAATGCGTTCCTCTCTTTTATCTTCCCGCGTCCTTTGTCGTCTCTCACGAGTCGCGGAATGTACATAGATCCAAGGGAAAACAGCCGCGCGCTAGTCGCGCGAAGACGCGCAACTCGGTATCCACAATGTAGCGGCACGGCGGTCGTGAATGCTCACGCTAAAGTCTATTCCGCGCGATAATTGGTCGTCGAAAGTTCAGCTCGTTACCAACAGATCTTAATAGAAGATGCGCTAACAACGTTGAATCGCGGCCCGGTATTATGATGCCAGCGGTGCGTGAAGCTGATACGCCCTTCGACCGTGCTCCGAGCTGCGAATTCTAACGGCGGCGGCGGCGGCGGCGGCGGCTGCAATCTCGCGGCGCTCGTAGAAATAGCAGCTTGCGGCGCGCGGGAAGACCGCAGCCGCGAAGACCGAGCGCGCGCGAGTGCATTCACGGGGGTTATAAGAGGGAAGAGACAGGTGCATAAACCAGATATAAGTTTCGATTAACTTCAACAACGCGCCGGGCTCCAGTTAGAAGTTATGAGCGATAGAGTCGCGGTACCGAACGGTAGATAATGGATAGATCCGGCCGCAAGGAAAGTTTAAACAACAACGACGCGCGCGCGCAACAAGGTGTGAAAATGCATTGTTGCATCATTCCTTTCGTTTAAAACGCTCGCAGCCCGGAACACACGCTAATAGGGTGAATGAAAGGTAATCCTAAGTCTAAATCCAGTCCTTACGACTAATGTCCTAACGACAAATGAGTAAGGAAGACCTTTATAAAAGGTTACAATGATTGGGTCCGCATTAGGACCTTAATGTACCAACCTAGTGTGTGATATAATATGGTTCAGTTTCAATCAGGTCCTTGTCGGGATCTCTTTTATTCATTGTACCTAATATGATTTGTCATTATCAAGTTTTAACGAAACAACTTTTGGATGTCATTTCCAAATATAAAGATGTCCGCATTGCAAACACACTTCAGATCACTTGAATATATTTGTAAAATGCTATAGAAACTATCCTTTTTTTTAACAGTCAATAAATACTTGTAAGATTAACGTGACATGCAACTTTTCTCTTCAACGCTACTTTATGTCTTGTCACCTTGTGATACTTTATGATCTTGTGATATTCATTTTATGTTTCTTTTCCGAAACATTTTACAAGTAGGTGCTTAAGCGATCTAAAATATTATTTCATGCAAGTATCTTTTTATTTGGAAATGACACGAAAGAATTTTCAGCGTGTCATTTCTTATTTCTAATGTCATCATCCAATATAACCGTGGCGAGTAATCAGGGGCCATAATTTCAAAAAAAAACGTAATAAGGACTCCATAAGGTAACTCAATAAGGACCTGACTGTGAGTCCTTACTAAGGTCCTGACGATCCACGCTGCGTTAAATGACTTACTAGGACTCGATAGTATTACCTTATTGGGACCCGATGTCCAAATGAGGTTAACCTGATCAGGACCATGGGATAAATTTCTAGTCGGGCCGTCGCTTCTTGACCTCTCTTTTATACTCGGCGATCGCGCGATTTTCGTCTCCTCGATCCGCCGTGAAATCTTGCGACCTTGTGTGTTTACCCAGTCAAGGACGCCCCTTCTCCTCCCCCGTTTTCGCAACGCACTTCCGGACAATCATAGCCGATCATGCCCGCGCATTCGACACGACTTTCGGGGGGGGGGGTGGGGGGGAGCATTGAAATTAATGGACGGCCATTTTACACCAAGTTGATCTAATCGCGCGCGAGCCGGTACAGGACGATTAGCGCCGGACGAACGGAGTTACCGGCCTGATACATCGAACTAACTTTAATAATCACCGCTGCAACTAGCGAATTCCGCCACTTTGTAATGAGTTTTCGCCGCAAGGAGGATTTGGCTGGCGGACAGGCCCGACATTTCGTTTAATGGAGCCCGCGTTGTAATCGAGGCAGGTGTCCACCGTCGCCTTGGCCTGCGCACGCCGCGCGCGCGGCCGCCCGCTCGCAATAGGCGTGCTTGTTAGAAATGCAATTATGCGAGGATCCGCGTTAAGTTTTAATCCGATCCACTTTTATACTTGCGGAGTGAGTTTGCGTCCCGCGCGGAAAGCTTCTTAGTGATAATGCGATATCTTAAGAGGATGGCAGAGGCATTAACTGCATGAGCCAAGAAGGAGCGAGCGGAGGACCACGAGAGGCCGCGGATCGAAGGTCGAAGTTAAGACGCGCACACCAGCTCCGGGCTCACGTATATAGAAGATAACGCTAGCTAAACCACGCTAGTAGCTACTCCATCGTAACTTACAAACCACTCTAGCGAATAGTGCTCTCTTAATTATCAAACTTCCGCCCCTAATTTCCATCCTTATACCCACGGTCTATCGGGTAATACGAGGAGACGCGCATGCCAGCGGGTATCTCTTAACCATCGCAGCATCCTCCGCTTAGATTTTATAACTCCGGACGCCGGAGAGCGCTCGCGCCGACGGGAAAGAAGATCGGCTGGATTGATGTGACGATGAACGCGCGCACCGGTACGTCGGCCGCGCGTACTTCGGCGGCAACGGGATTCCCGATCTTCACCGGCGAAATTCGGCGGTCCGGAAATCCTGCGTTCTTCGACGCGCCAAACGCGCGCTTGATCCGTCGTTCGCCGTCGTTAAGCCGGAGCGATTTCTTTCGTCCCTCTGACGACCATCATCGCGTTGTCATCACTCGCTCTTTCTTCGATTCTCGACTCGAATTCGCCGCCGAATTACGCGCGAAAGAAGAGGGATTTCACACGAGTGCGCAAGGGCACTCCTATCAAAGCGGCGTGCTCACGCATCGTGGTGGTGTGAGCGACCGCGTGTAGTGTGTGCTTTTTGAAGCATCAATTATAAATTATGTTTCGAGGCGATTCGCACGCGGCACACTTCGGGCCGTTTATTGTAGCGGCGCGTAATATGATTACATAATTAGTGCGGGAATAATGACAGATCGCGCCGGTAAGTGGATTAAACCAATAGCGGCAATCGACGAGACATTAGTTGCGTGAGCCTATCGCGTCGCACAGAGGGATACACATTGCGTTTAATGCGCGTAGTGCTCCGGAGGAAAACTCGATACGTGTACTTAGCGTAACGATGTAACACCTAATCCGGCCGTTCGGGAGAGGCTAATGGAGAGGAAATGGCGGGGTTGATTGAGAGAGAGAGAGAGAGAGAGAGAGAGAGAGAGAGAGAGGGAGAGAGAGAGAGAGAGAGAAAAAAGCGCACGGGGCCGGCGCGGCGGTGGAATAACACGAGACGGATCTGCGAATATCCCGCGGCGAAACCGAGTAAACTCCATCCATCTTGGCTATTGACCTTAATTCGACAGCGGCCAGAATAGCCGTCAGTAAGGTGATTTCCGGCGGAGGATCGATATTTTCCGAGGGGGTTGCTCGGCACAGCCTCTGTCGTCGCACCGTTTCTTCTTAGGCCGCAGTATCGCGCACGAGGATGTAAGACGGTATTACCGAGACGGTGACGGCTCCACGGTAATCTGGGAAATATCGTTCGCGGAATACATCCGGCGAACGCCCTCGGAAGAAGCAACGTCAATGCGGAATTAGAGGGAGACGGGGACGTAAAACACTCTTGCGCCACGACGTTCTTTCCTTCGCGAGAAATCGTGTCTTCTCGACTGGGATAATCACGGGAAGATCGGAGAAACGTTGCTGGACTATCGGAAACGAGCACTTCGCCTGCGCGCGAGGAATTACAAACAACACGATACTTCCGATGGAAGCGAGATCTCACTCACTCTCTCTCTCTCTCTCTCTCTCTCTCTCTCTCTCTCTCCCTCT